TCCTCATTGTCATCAGTGTGTGACAGTCTTCTCAGATCCTCATTGTCATCAGTGTGTGACAGTCTTCTCAGATCCTCATTGTCATCAGTGTGTGACAGTCTTCTCAGATCCTCATTGTCATCAGTGTGTGACAGTCTTCTCAGATCCTCATTGTCATCAGTGTGTGACAGTCTTCTCAGATCCTCATTGTCATCAGTGTGTGACAGTCTTCTCAGATCCTCATTGTCATCAGTGTGTGACAGTCTTCTCAGATCCTCACTGTCATCAGTGTGTAACAGTCTTCTCAGATCCTCATTGTCATCAGTGTGTAGCATTCATCTAACAATGACAAAATGCAAATGCTTGTGCAGTGGCTCTTCACTTCACAGAGATGACTGTGTAGATTTTGCCTTACTTTTGGGCCATTTGCAGTGAGGAGCTTGGTGCTTCAGGAAGAATCCAGTGATGGGATTGGAGTTAGGGAACTCAGAAGAAACCATGCCATTTGGGTCCTGGACATGACATCTTCATTGATTAGGGATAATATTGGGAAAATCCACCTCACTGGAGACAGTATCCTAATACATCAAGCAAAAAAGAACAGGAAGTCCCAAATGATGGATTTATGAAGTGTTATGAGACAGCAGAATGCTAAAGATGAGAAGGGCATTTTGTGGGATCACCGTGACAGGGAGCTAGCAGAAACTTATTGTGTAGCAAAAGTGTGAAATAGAGAAAAGCTTGTTTGCCTTTGACTTGGAAGACACAGATTCAAACCCTGGTCACATTAAGATGTGTCACTTAGAAACTACATTCTACCTCCCCATGCCCTGTTGCTGTGAAGGTATCTGCACGCTTAATGAACATGTCCAGGTGCCAGGCTTTGAATGGGGTAGATAAAGGAATGAAAACTATTTTTATAAAGAAATGTTATGTAATACTAATGTTTCAGCTAACATTACACACTGGACACTAAGTTCTTCCTTTTGTATATGGGACCTTATTTAACTATTAAAACATCCAGGGAGACATTTTCAGTTTTAGTAGGTAAGGAAAACAAAAGCCAGAAAAGTCAGTTAATTCTTAGACTTTCAAACCCAGCCTCTTGAATTCATCACCAGTTCTTTGACTGTATGACAGGTCTGCTGCAGTTCTCACATGAATAAGTCCTAACAAGACTATGCCTTGAAGATGTTGTAAAAACAGATCTCTTATTGGACTTGGCTTGGAAGGAAAGGAATCCTATTCTTTATTCCCCTCTCACGATAGTCTCACTAGAGTTCTGTGATCTTTTAATTTGCCCCTGGCAAGAATGTCTGACACATAAATGTCAGCATTACCTCCCCTTGTTTCTCAAGGATTTTGATACATCCAAGAAAAGTACTTTGGAAGGCCAGCAATCAGCATGGCTTACATGTTTTAAAGTGAGAATCACCTCTGAGCTGTAAGGAATAGCTAGACAGATGTCTTTTAACCATAGCTATCTATTGTTGGTTTGTTTGTCTGCGTAGGTCTCTCATTGACCTGCAACTTGCCCAGTAAGCTAGACTTGCTGGCCAGTGAGCTCCAAGAATCCACTTCTTTGTCCTGTAGCAGCACTAGCAATTACATACATGTACCATAACACCTGGTTTTTAAATTTTTTTATATTTTGCCAGGTATTGGTGGCACACACCTTTAATTTAATCCCAGCACTTGGGAGGCAGAGGCAGAGGAAGGCGAATCTCTGTGACTTTGAGGCCAGCCTGGTCTACAAAGCGAGTCCTAAACAGGCTCCAAAACAATACAGAGAAGCCCTGTCTCAAAAAACAAACAAAAAATTTTTATATGTTATTTTATGTGTATGGATTTTGAGTTCTATATATGTTTGTACACCACACACAAGCAGTGTCCCCAAAAACCAGAAATGGGTGTTGGCTTATCAGAACTGGTGTTACATATGGTTGTAAGCTGCCATATGAATTCTGGGAATTGGACCTGGGACTTCTGGAATCGATGAACCATCTCTCTGGTCCTGTTAAATCTGGCGTTTTTGTTTTTGTTTTTGTTTTTTAAACATGAGTTCTGGTGATTGAACTTAGGTCTCTGTGCTTGCTTGACAAGCACTCACTAGGTGAGATACCTCCCCAACTCTCTTGTTTCTTAGCTTTAAAGCAAATTGTATAGTCTAAACATAAATAAAATTCTTGTCTTCTACTTCATCATCCTATGCTAATAACTCTATGAACCTCTTGTATGTTCAGTTGTTTATATGTATGTTAATTCCTGAAAATACTGAATTCTCCCATGCCAGCCCACAGATTTTTGTTTCAATATTCTACCTGAAGAGTGAGTTTTGTTTGAAGGCAGGCTTATCTGAGACATCTCTCAAGGAAGCCAAGATAATGTTGAAGACTCCTGTCATAATGTAACATCAGTGTCAAAGAATATTAAAATCACTTAGCTTTCAAATACCAACCCAAACCTCACCAAGAAGAGAGGGAATAGTCATGAACTGCAGAAATCAGCCTGTTCTCCCCCAATTCTCCAGTAATCCTCTCTGTGTGTTCCCACTACAGGTTGTTCATGTCTCTGTGAGAGCAATGTGCCATGTGCTTTGCCTTCAATATGTTGTTTATAGATTAGTTTAGCTCTCCTATTCTGGTGGGAACTGTGAATGAAAGGGTGGTATCTCCAAGGTCGCTTTCCCTCTGCCCCTCCCAGGATTTTAAGCACTTTGTTCCTTAGGCTTTCAGGGAATGTGGCTTATTAGAGGAGACAATGAAGTGTTTATTTAAACAGACTTAATAAGAAATTTGAAGAACTATAGGCAACAATGCAAAGAGTTATACAGGATTTCATATAAAAAATGTA